TGGCTATGGAAACCTCTTTCTTAAAGCCAATTTATGCTTGCTCCAGAAATGCATCCGGAGGCTCCGTACAGAGGGTGTGATGCAATCGCGGAAGCTCGGGAAGCTTGCAGAAGTCAGAGCATTCATTCTTTAAAATAATAAAACGTATTGGGCTTCACGGAGCAGAGCTGTTGTGAACGAAGTTGTCAAGGAAGTTTGTGTTTAGACAGGACCTCCCATCCCCACCTCCCGAGTGGCGCAGCGGTCTAAGGCACCGCATCTCAGTGCTTGAGGCGTCACTACAGACCCCCTGGTTTGATTCCAGGCTGTATCACAACCGGCTGTGATTGGGAGTCCCATAGAGCGGCGCACAATTGGCCCTGCGTCGTCCGGGTTTGGCCGGTGTAGGCCGTCATTGTAAATAAGAATTTGTTCTTAACTGACTTGCCTAGTTAAATAAAGGTAAAATAAAAAATGTCAAAAAATGTGTGAGGCGCATGGCGATTTGGTACGGAGCTCCATTTGGCTTCTGCAAGCCTCCGGAAGCTCCGCAATTGCTCAAACCCTCCATATGGAGCCTCCGGATGCATTGCCAGAGCAAGCATAAATTGGCTTTAACAATGCAGAGGGCTCCATATAGCTCAGCATTGACATGATTGGTTGACGGTAGGTGGGGGCGGTACATCCTGTATAAACACAAACTCACTTCCTTGACAACTTCCTTCACAACAGCACTGCTCTGCAAAGCGCAAGAAGTATGAATGCCCTGACTTCTGCATAGGCTGTATCACCGTAAATGCTGTATGGCCACTGCAGTTGATGGATTAACCATGCAGAGCCTTTTAAAGCTATATAGATCTGGATCATGACTTACATTTCAGTCATTTAGCAGACGCTCTTATCCAGAGCAACTTACCGTTAGTGAGTGCATACATTTTCATACTGGCCCCCCCGTGGGAATCGAACCCTGGCGTCGCAAGCGCCATGCTCTACCAACTGCGCTACACGGGGCCTAACTTAGAGTTACTTATTAAACTAAAGGTACCTCGTGAATGATCACGAACTTGTCTCTTAAGTAAGTCTGTGTGAACACTGAGTGATACTGTTTGAATGTGTTCATGTGTGTGTGTTCCCAGCGGCCCTAAAAAGTCCAGTGTACAGCTATGTAGGGCAACTGGGTACTACATAGAGCCATGACTACATTGAACTCTATTCCACATCAAGTAACTCATGCAAGCAGTAAAATTAGATTTAAAAAACAGATACAAATACACCTTATGGAACAGCGGGGACTGTGAAGCAACACAAACAGACACAAAGACATGCATACACATACACGATAACATACGCACTATACACAAACGTACACATGGATTTTGTGTTCTTAATATGTGGTAGTAGAGTAGGGGCCTGAGGGCAAACACTTAATGTGTTGTGAAATCTGTTGTGAATGTATTGTAATGTTTTAGAAATTGTATAACTGCCTTAATTTTGCTGGACCCCAGGAAGAGTAGCTGCTGCAGGAACTAATGGGGATCCCTAATAAAATACAAATACAAATGGGGCTCTCTTCCTACTGTAGCTCTCTGAGATGGCTTTACAGTAGTGTGTAATACTTATTCTCCTGAATGTCCAACTCACATGATGGTAGAACTAAGACAGACACAGCACCCCGTCCACTTCAACACAGAGGGTGAGTGAGTGAAAGAGAGGGCCTAGTACTTTTGTAGTTTGGTGGAAATACCCATCGACTGATGGTTAGATCAGCTTTAATATTGCATATAGATTGTGGCTTCTATCAATGTAATTATCTGCATCATTTCCAAGCCCCCATATATTTTTGGGTAAATATATACAGTACCAGTCAAAAGTTTCTCTTTGCTTATTTGAGATGTTCTTGCCATAATATGGACTTGGTCTTTTACCAAATAGGGCTATCTTCTGTATACCACCCCTACCTTGTCACAACACATCTGATTGGCTCAAACGCATTAAGAAGGAAAGAAATTCCACAAATTCACTTTTAACAAGGCACACCTGTTAATTGAAATGCATTCCAGGTGAATACCTCATGAAGATGGTTGAGAGAATGCCAAGCGTGTGCAAAGCTGTCATCAAGGTAAAGGGTGGCTACTTTGAAGAATCTCAAATTTAAAATATATTTGATTTGTTTAACACTTTTTTGGTTACTACATGATTCCATATGTGTTATTTCATTGTTTTGATGTCTTCACTATTATTCTACAATGTAGAAAATAGTAAAAATAAAGAAAAACCCTGGAATGAGTAGGTGTGTCCAAACTTTTGACTGGTACTGTGTATATTTTTATATATACAGTATTTTCCTTCTTCATTATTTTCCCCTGAAATACAGTTCCCTCTGCTAACTGGAGTAAAGTAATGGACAACAATACTTAGGCTTCTACTTCCAGATTATGCATACTATAAACATTTTACGGACACAATATATTTTACATTAGTTATCTTGTTTTTTTGTTAATTTTAGTTCCACCCCTTAGCTCCCCTCAACCCCTCCTATCTATCTCTGAACACCATCCAGTTTTGTTTTCTATTTGCCATATATTTTTCAACTGCTGTGATGTTTCACAAAAGTTCTGAACCTTTCTATTCTCATAGTTTCTACAGATTGCAAATTAAATATATATTTTTTTGCAAAGAGTATTATTAAATTATTAATCGATTGACTTTGACTTTTCAAATCACCCAGCAGTATTATCTGCAGAGTTAGTTCCAGGTAAATGTTGCATTTCTTCAGCCATTCCTGAACCTGTGACCAAAAACAAGCTACATATGTGCAGTACCAAAACAAGTGATCTAATGATTCTGTACCTTAGCAGCAAAATCTCCAACTAGTAAATGGGGTCACCATTTACTAGTTAGATGGAAATTATCCAACCATTATGTTGAAATTATATAAAAAGGTAAATGCAACTTGCAACAATTTCAAAGATTTTACTGAGTTACAGTTCATATAAAGAAATCAGTCAATTAAAATAAATTAGGCCCTAATCTATGGATTCCACACGACTGGGAATACAGATATGCATCTGTTGGTGACAGATACCTTTAAAAAAAGGTAAGCGCGTGGATCAGAAAACCAGTCAGTATCTGGTGTGACCACCATTTGCTTCATGCAGCGCAACACATCTCCTTTGCATAGAGTTCATCAAGCTGTTGATTTTGGCCTGTGGAATGTTCTGTCACTCCTCTTCAATGGCTGTGCGAAGTTGCTGGATATTGGCTGGGAACTGGAACACGCTGTCGTACACGTCGATTCAGAGCATCCCAAACATGCTCAATGGGTGTCATGTCTGGTGAGTATGCAGGTCATGGAAGTACTGGGACATTTTCAGCTTCCAGGAATTGTGTACAGATCCTTGCGACATGGGGCCGTGCATTATCACACTGAAACATGAGGTGATGGTGGTGGATGAATGGCATGACAATGAACCTCAGGATCTCATCACGGTATCTCTGTGCATTCAAATTGTCATCGATAGAATGCAATTGTGTTCGTAGTCCGAAGCTTATGCCTGCCCATAACATAACGCTACTGCCACCATATGGCCCTGTGTAGCTCAGTTGGTAGAGCATGGCGCTTGCAACGCCAGGGTTGTGGGTTCGTTTCCCACGGGGGGCCAGTATGAAAAAATGTATGCACTCACTAACTGTAAGTCGCTCTGGATAAGAGCGTCTGCTAAATGACTAAAATGTAAATGTTGACATCAGCAAACTGCTCGCCCACACGACGCCATACATGTGGTTGTGAGGCGTACTGCCAATTTCTTTAAAACGACGTTGGAGGTGGCTTATGGTAGAGCATTCAGTTCTTTGGCAACAGCTCTGATGGGCATTCCTGCATTCAGCATGCCTATTGCACGCTCCCTCAATTTGAGACATCTGTGGGATTGTGTTATGTGACAAAACTTCACATTTTAGAGTGACTTTTTACTGTCCCCAGCACAAGGTGCACCTGTGTAATTATCATGCTGTTTAATCAGCTTCTTGATATGCCACACCTGTCAGGTGGATGGATTATCTTGGGAAAGGAGAAAAGCTCACTAACAGGAATGTAAACAAATGTGGGCACAACATTTGAGAGAAATAAGGTTTTTGTTCGTATGGAAAATTTCTGGGATCTTTTATTTCAGCTCATGAAACATGGGACCAACACTTTACATGTTGTGTTTATATTTCTGTTCAGTGTAATAATAAACTACATTTATCAATCTGAATAAATACTACAGCCCATTTAGCATGAGCAATCGGGAGTCCGGCATCCCCCCAGAGTGGTTGCGCGCCGTGCAACAGCTTTTTTGCCCATTGCCTCATTCACAGGGCGCCCGCGATATGCCGATTGTGCATATCATACAAAACATATCATATGAAATGGGTGATGGACATCCACAAATGAATACACATCATACTAAATGGAGTGAATCGGATTTACATACAGAATAATACAAAATGCTCTGAGACCAGGTTGCCTTACCAGTCATTGATCAATTCTTATATAGTACCACTGCAATGTGTACAATGATAATCACTTATGTTTGATTTTATATTTGAAAACTATTCTCACTTGCTTGTTTTGTACTCAGGTGGCTGAATATCATGCCATATCATGCCATGGCCTAAAATACAAGGTATATTGCAATCACTGATCGATGATGCTAATAAATACTCTGGGTGTATGGTTATAGTCTTTATTGACACAAATGTAATATTTGATTTATTTTGTAGCCCTGAAGAACTTGCTAGAGGGCTCAGAGTACAATACTACACCTTGGCTGGTGTAAAGCAGCAGCACAGCCAGGAGAGGGCGCCAAAAGCACATAATATACTTCACATCAGCCACCACTGTAGTGTACATGAGGTGAGTCGGACCGTAGAAACAAAAAGGACTGTAATGCAGGAGGACTGCACCTTTAAGTCATCATCATACAGCTTACATATTTCTGGAACGCATGCCACGCTGCTGCGCCTGCTCAGTGCACCACAGACTGTTCAGTGACAAATGTACCACTATTCCGTTAGATGTAGGTAGCCCGTGTGCTCCAGTATGGACCCACTGTTGACGTCGCGGCTATTGTTGTGATTCCGCGATTTGGGTGACAGCTCCCGTGGATCTAAAATTTCAGGAGCGACGGAAGAATGAGAAGAGGGAATTATAATATTTCTACTGCACGGATAGCGCAGAGAGATATCCACGATAAAAGGTAAATAATAATCGATCTATTTCCTTTATTGTTGTCTCGCCATTCGTGTAGAATTCCCCTGCTGGTATAACGCTACATTATAGGCTATGAAAATGCTGATGAATGCCACAACACTCGCTCGTGCGGTCGTGTTTAGCCTTTTGTGTGTTGCCTGTATTGCTTTTGCTATAGGCTACAGTTTTGCGTCTCCACAACCTTACAGTTATGCTCTGACATAATGATCATATAGCAAATACATAATAGGTTTAGTTATAGTTAATATTTTCTTGTAATTTGCCCAATGAATGATGAAAGGTTTGCCTTAATCTGCTTTTTCAGAATAGTCAATTTCACACCCTAATCATAGAATTATAAGCTATGAATGTCATTACATTTTATCCACAACCGACAAAATCCCCTTGATATCACTGTAGCTTTTGTCTGTAGCATGGCGAATATGGTTATAAACAGAAACACTACAGTAACTTGATTTCCTGCTTAGGATAGGATTCAATAGATGGATTTGCATAGGTTGGCCAGCGTGAAATACACAGAAACAGTATCTTTATTGTTTTACAATATTATATATGCACTATCAATCGTTGTGGTAATGCACAATTAGTTATGTAATGAAAGAATGTGTGTGTGTGTGTGTGTGTGTATGTGCGTGTGTTCCTGTGCCTGTGCATGTGTTCTTAACTAATTCCCTTTGCATCTGTGTGTGTGTGGGTCAACTTCCTCTGGGCCAGATGTAAAGTCAATCAGTTGGGGCACGACCGGCTACTTAAACCCTCTCTGGTCCCTCTTCCGGCCTCTGCCCTGCCAACAGAAACTCTGTATGCCTGCTATGATTTCAGACCACTGACCACATGGCAGTTTCTGCAAGATGCTTTGAATAGTATGCAGCACATTCAGTGCTTTATAAAAGCGAGGATCGCCATCGCCTGTGTTCCCTCTTCTGAGTTTGTTGTTCTGAAAGTAAGACCAGAGATAAAGAGGTGAAGCTGTTACTGACCATCAGTAGCCTACCATATTGGTATTGATGTCTCCCGAACTGAGACCTCTGTTCCTTTGGTTAGGAGGGGTGTGTTGTCACTTTTCCTTTTGCCCATTAAGAAAACCAAACAAATGTTAGGCTACAAGGTGGAGGCCAGGAGGGTCAAATGTCTTTCTCCTTGTAGTCACTGGTTGGACAGACATCAGTATCTGCTGACCATGTAGCACCAGGTGTACTGTACTGTGTAGACTTCAGCCGAAGTCTCAGTCATCTCCCCTGCTGTGTTTTATTTGTGCCAATGAGTGTCTGGCAGACATGTGCTTCGTCCTCTACCTCACTGAATTATTAAATAGGTCTAGCCTACATTCACATTCTAGACATTCAGTCCTGTCTGTGGTACCTTAAAGCATCCATGTAGTCTTTGTAATTTGTATTTTGAAATCATAACTATATGTCTAATAAATCACTGTGTGTGTTTTATATTAATGAAAAGAACTCCAAAATATATTTTTTATCAATTATTTCCCTGACTATCCTTTGGCCTTGAAATACTCAGTCTGATTGTGTGGGCGTTATGAAACAAATGTGAAGATATTTACATACACAGCCCTGATTAGCTGATAGGATCGTCTAAAGCTCACCCCTTAGCCAGATGAACAGTCATTGGTCTATTATAATCAGATCACATTGTGATGTCATGATGTGGGCCAAAAGTTCCATCCCACCTGAACAGGCTGAAATTCCAGGCATTTTTTAAAACAGCTCTTACACAAAAAGGCCATTATTATCATTTTCACAATTTCAGTGTTATTTCGACCTCATGGAAATATATAAAAGGAAAATCACGTTTTTAACTGCACTGCCCCTTTAAGTTGGCTACTCCTGGCCAGTGTGTGTGCAGAGTTTTGTTCAAGCCCAGCATGAACAAACCTGATTGAAACAATTGTGATCATCAGGTTAGACCACAGTTAGCTCCATTGGATGTTTTGAAGCCAGGCTGGAACAAAAGCCTCCCCACACTTTCTCTGACCCTGTTCTAGCTGCATTTGCCTGACTGCCTGTGCTTGACACATTGATGTCCAATATGTGCCCCCTCAAAATGAATACCATAAACAGTACAGTTATCTTTCATTAGACTTGTGCCATGCCCATGTTGCATGTAGTTGGAAACAACATTATGGAAACGTCTCCATTCAGTGGTTGAAAGCCAGTCACATAACTTCAGTTAAGAGATACCAGAGTGATGGAATTACATTTCCTTTCCATTATCGCACTGCTTTGCTTATCTTGGCCAGGTCGCAGTTGTAAATGAGAACTTGTTCTCAACTGGCTTACCTGGTTAAATAAAGGTTAAATAAAAAAATAAAAATATAAACATTTCCTTTGTTCTGAAGATGCCTTGTAGTCAGGTTGGAAAAAACAACCATTGGCTGTGTAATCCTGGCATCAAAGATAGTGATAAGATCCAGATGGTGGATGTGTCCTGCTGTGGTCCAGATTATGACTGATCTGGAACCAGGACACTGGTAATGATGCAGCCCATGGAAAGTGTGGATTAACTGGGATTAGGCATATCCCGCTGTTTTGTTTTGGCGAGTACAGTATAAACATTCTTGTACTGGAGGGATCCCACTGATAAGGTCTGTTCGTATGATGGATTGAGTGAAAACCTGTGCTTGTGGGGTGTAGCACCACAGAGGCATAGGCATAAATATGCTACACTCTGTCATGTGTGAAAAGGTAAACTCAGTGAGGTCAGAAAGCTTTGTAACAGGTTGGAGGGCCGTGAAATCAATATTCACCTCTCAATCAAAAGCAAACTGCTGTAGGCCTACACTGGCTATCCATCTTCTCAAACAGGCCTACACAACGTACAGTTGAGGACCCTTGAAAATATTGCCTTCATACTTTTTGGATGATTAGCATGACATAATTGTGTGTGCGTGAGGTAGATTCCTGTGTAGGAGGGTGCAGAGAGAGAGGGGAAGGCAGGAGGAAGGTGGGGGTTAGCAGGTACTGTCAGCCAAACACTGGCAGGACTCTTGGTTCCCAGGGGGCTTATATTACTGATCCACAGAAACACTGATATCCTCTTCACACACTGCCAACACACTGTACATCCACATAGCGCTCTGCTTCTCAAACCCGTGTTCTATTTAGCTTTCACACATTCAAATCTGCCGTTTTTACTTTGTTTTTATTATGTTACTCAATAGACACACACAGAGGCCCACCATGTTTAAAACTATCCCACTACTAAAGGCATGTGAAGTGCATTCAGCCATAGTGTGACACTGTGTCAACACTGAGCTGAGGAGTGGACACATGCTGGACAGAGCTCTTCAGGCACAGTGGCCAGGAGAAGGTTACAGGCTTATGATCAACATTACTGTTAATTAACCAACTGAATGGACAAAAACATAATCTCCTCTTTATACAGACCCGCTTTTTTAAATTCATCACTGATGTGTATCCAGTAGTCAGTTAGACCGACATATAGGGTTGGCTTGCTAGCATGCTGTAAAATGAAGATGTGCATGTCTGTTATATTTTTGCAGACACATTTGCCCACAACCATGCAAACCAAAGCATCTCTGATTTGAAATCGTTTCTGTTTTATTTTCCTTTTCAGATATTGACATGAAGAAAGACATTGAGACGTTGATAGCAGAGGAACGCGCTGACATCATCTTGAAATATGATACGGTGGGTGACGTTCAACAAATACACTGTTCAGAGGGTTTTAGGATGCTGTAAACTGTTTTTAAAGCTCTAGAATTGCCATGTGCACTTCCACCTTAGTTATTTCTCATTTACCGATGACCAAAATAGCCCAATCGACCTGTCCAACAAATGCCTCTACAGTTGGAGAACTCCTAGATAAGGTTTGAAAGTTCACAGACATCAGTTCAGTCATTACAGAGTTTCAGTAACAGTCAAATTAGTCACATAGCATAGCAATAGGGCTATTTAGCTCCAGGCCTGCATTGATGTATCCATGAATGTTAGTCTAAGACTGGTCTTCTTATGTAGGTAGACTGCACCACCTCCATCACCTCCATAAACAAGGAAATAGATCAACCACACCAGTCAAAACCAAACAGCAAAGGTGTTGTTATGTCCACACATAAGCAAGTGCAGTTTGTAATGCATATCCTTGATAATCAGATGTTGATTCACTTGGCCTGAGTTTGTACTTTAAATAACATGCATTCCATCTTCAGTACATGTCATGGAGTTATCCCATCTGACTGTACCACATGTCCTCTCTGTCTGTGTGTTGTCCATCTGTTCACACAGGAGGAAGAGTTCATACTTGTTTGAGCGTGTTGTTAAAAAGCGTGACTGTCGCTCTAAGAGGGATAAGAAAGAGAAACTGACGGTGTGTTTGTGTGTTGCTAAGCATTGTGTGTGTGGGTTGATGAAGAAGCCTAATAGCATGCTTGTGGTTTGTTGTGTAACAGAAAATTATTATATAATATAATATGATGTTGAGGAGATTTAGACACACATATGCAGCTAAAATAGTCACAGTTGCCAGGCAAATGCAATCATACTTTAAGAGAGATGACGTAGGCCTATCTGTGTTGTATGTTGTTAATTCTATAAAACCTAGAGAAGCATACATTATAAAATGATAGATTATGCAGTCTATTTAGTACAAACTAGAGGTCATGAACTTCAAGCGACCCAAATTTCCCTAGCAATATCTGTCTTACAGTGTCCCCTCTTCAAATTGGGGTCAGCAGACATGCTGACACTGGAAAGAGCAAGAGGGACGGAGAGCGAGAGAGAGAACTACAGCGAATGAGACAGAGTTGACACTCAAAATAGCAAGAGAGAGAGAGAGAGTAGGAATGAGACAGAGTTAAATTTAGCTCACAGGCAACAAGACATGGGTACATACTGTATATAGGATCTTAATTTGAGCCAGTTTGCTACAGCAGGAAAATAATCCTGCAGCAACAAGAAATGTGAGTTATTATGTGGATTATAATTTATGGACATTTTTGTAGGGGTTGATACATTTTTTTGTAAGGGAAAACTAAGTCGGATATTTCAAAGTTGAAATTACAAACTTTAAAAGCCCTTTTTTAACCCTAAATGCACTACAAGTGAAAAATGTGCTGCATTGCAGGAAGTTATCCTGCACTAGGGTGATCGTATTAAGATCCTACATCTGTAGAGGGGACCCTGTCTGGCCTTAGCAACACCTGTGACAACGGCCATAGCTAGACCATCGATCGATTACCCCATGGTCTCTTGAAGCTACTGAACCATAATAGAAATCAGCTGATTACTGTCTGTCTGTAGGATTCTACTGTCTATATGGTATTTGACTTCTGTAGCTCAATTGGTAGAGCATGGTGCTTGTAACGCCAGGGTAGTGGGTTCGATCCCCGGGACCACCCATACGTAAAAATGTATGCACACATGACTGTAAGTCGCTTTGGATAAAAGCGTCTGCTAAATGGCATTATTATTATTATTATTATTATTGACTTCTGAACAGAAGTAGCACATACTGTCTCAGACCTCAGGTGGTGACAGTACAGACAAAATGTTTCTAGTGCAATTCACCATGGGTGTTCTGTTTATTGTAATGTGCAGATGGCTTAGTCAGGGTGCCATTTCTGTTTCTGTTTGGCAAAGACAACAACTTGGCTGCCCTTTGATGTTGTCTTGCCAAATAAGGTTATGACTTATTATACAACGGGTGGGTCTAATCCTGAATGCTGATTAGTTAAAACTGCATTCCAGACAGTGTCTATTCCACAAGTTAAGTCTATGATGTTAAAATGCCTATTTACTCTGTCCCATCTGACTGCGCAATCCACTGTCTCATCAGCCCAGCCAGGCAATTTATAAACTTGATCTCCACTATAAAAAGCATCTAGACATTATCTCACATTTCTTATAGACTAACATTTAGTTTTCAACAGTAGAGATTTGTATAAACCTTGCTGTCTGTCTCTCCGACATTTGCAACATTGTTTCAATATTCAAATTCGATCTCCAGCTGTCGCATAGTAATGAACGTGTCAGGAGTCGGGATGAGACAGACAGGCAGGCAGCTTTTCTCAGCCAGTCGAAATCATAAATCAGCATCATTTTTATGGATATATACAAATAAATATCAATAAAAAACAGGTAAAACGAAACAATAACAGCTAGTTTGCAGTCTTTCCAGCTTCAGTTTGAAGTGATTGTGTTAGCTGTATTGTTGGCTAGCTCCTCTGAACAGTAGTGTCCTGATGATAGAGCACATTTTCTAAGCCAGGTGAAATCGCGCATTATTAGCTCATTGTTATGGATGTATCAAATAAATGTCACTAGAAAACAGCTTAAACAAATGCAAATAAATAAAATGGTATTGGTCACATACACATATTTAGCAGATGTTATTGTGAGTGTAGCGAAAGGCTTGTGTTCCTAGCTCCAACAGTGCAGTAGTGTCTAACAATTCACAACAATACACACAAATCTAAAAGTAAAATAATGGAATTAAGAATATATAAATATTAGTAGAATACTGTATATACATATGAAATGATCATATGTATGTATGTAAACATTATTAAAGTGACTAGTAAAACATTAAAGAACACCCTTTGTGTTCTGTTAGACAGGTAATTCTTTATCCACAATATAGCAGGGGGTGTAAAGCCATAACACATAAGTTTTATCAGCAGCAGACTGATTGATAATGTCAATAGCCGCACTGAAGTCTTACAAAACAGCCCCCACAATCTTTTGATCATCAATTTCTCTCAGCCAATCATCAGACATTTGTGTATGTGCTGTGCTTGTTGAATGTCCTTCCCTATAAGCGTTCTGAAAGTCTGTTGTCAATTTGTTTACTGTAGAATAGCATTGTATCTGGTCCCAATTATTTATTTATAAGTTTACTAAGTGTACCAACAGGCTGATTGGTCGGCTATTTGAGCCAGTAAAGTGGGCTTTACTATTCTTGGGTAGCGGAATTACTTTTGCTTCCCTCCAGCCCTGAGGGCACACACTTTCTAATGGCTTAGATTGAAGATATGCCAAATAGGAGTGGCAATATCATCTGCTATTATCCCCAGTAATTTTCCATCCAAGTTGTCAGACCCAGTGGCTTGTCATTGTTGATAGACAACAATACTTTTTTTTCCCTCTTCCACACTCACTTTACGGATTAAAAATGTGGTCAGTTATACTTGGATGTGTAGTGTCGGCGTATGTTGCTGGCATTTCATGCCTAAATTTGCTAATCTTGCCTATGGGCAATATCAGTGGATTTTGTGATGAATGAGCCATCTGATTCAATGAATGATGGAGCTGAGTTTGCCTTTTTGCCCAAAATTTCATTTAAGGTGCTCCAAAGCTTTTTACTATCATTATTTATATCATTATCACTTTGTTTCATAGAATACAGTGCCTTGCAAAAGTATTCATCCCCCTTGGCATTTTTCCTATTTTGTTGCATTACAACCTGTAATTTAAATGGATTTTTATTTGGATTTCATGTAATGGACATACACAAAATAGGCCAAATTGGTGAAGTGAAATGAAAAAAATAACTTGTTTCAAAAAATTCTAAAAGATAAATAACGGAAAAGTGGTGTGTGCATATGTATTCACCCCCTTTGCTATGAAGCCCCTAAATAAGATATGGTGCAACCAATTACCTTCAGAAGTCACATAATTAGTTAAATAAAGTCCACCTGTGTGTAATCTAAGTGTCACATGATCTCAGTATATATACACCTGTTTGAAAGGCCCCAGAGTCTGCAACACCACTAAGCAAGGGGCACCACCAAGCAAGCGGCACCATGAAGACCAAGGAGCTCTCCAAACAGGTCAGGGACAAAGTTGTGGAGAAGTACAGATCAGGGTTGGGTTATAAAACTTTGAACATCCCACGGAGCACCATTAAATCCATTATTAAAAATGGAAAGAATATGGCATCACAACAAACCTGCCAAGAGAGGGCCGCCCACCAAACTCACGGACCAGGCAAGGAGGGCATTAATCAGAGAGGCAACAAAGAGACCAAAGATAACCATGAAGGAGCTGCAAAGCTCCACAGTGGACATTGGAGTATCTTTCCATAGGACCACTTTAAGCCGTACAATCCACAGAGCTGGGCTTTACGGAAGAGTGGCCAGAAAAAAGCCATTGCTTAAAGAAAAAAACAAGCAAACACGTTTGGTGTTAGCCAAAAGGCATGTGGGAGACTCCCCAAACATATGTAAGAAGGTACTCTGGTCAGATGAGACTAAAATTTAGCTTTTTGGCCATCAAGGAAAACGCTATATCTGGCGCAAACCCAACACCTCTCATCACCCCGAGAACACCATCCCCACGGTGAAGCATGGTGGTGGCAGCATCATGCTGTGGGGATGTTTTTCATCGGCAGAGATTTGAGACTGGGACAGAGGTTCACCTTCCAGCAGGACAATGACCCTAACCATACTGCTAAAGCAACACTTGTGTGGTTTAAGGGGAAACATTTAAATGTCTTGGAATGGCCTAGTCAAAGCCCAGACCTCAATCCAATTGAGAATCTGTGGTAGGACTTAAAGATTGCTGTACACCAGTGGAACCCATCCAACTTGAAGGAGCTGGAGCAGTTTTTCTGTGAAGAATGGGAAAAAATCCCAGTGTCTAGATGTGCCAAGTTTATAGAGATATACCCTAAGAGACTTGCAGCTGTAATTACTGCAAAAGGTGGCTCTACAAAGTATTGACTTTGGGGGGTGAATAGATATGCACGCTGAAGTTTTCTGTTTTTTTGTCTTATTTCTTGTTTGTTTCACAATATAAAATATTTTGCATCTTCAAATTGGTAGGCATGTTGTGTAAATCAAATGATACAAACCCCCCAAAAATCCAGGTTGTAAGGCAACAAAATAGGGAAAATGCCAAGGGGGTTGAATACTTTCGCAAGCCACTGTAGTTTCTTCTTATTTTTATTAAGTTTAGTCACTAATTTCTCAATTTGCCAATCGGTTGTGCTGCCAGACTTATTTGCCCTACCTTTTGCCTCATCCCTCTCAACCATACAATTTTTAAATTCTTCATCAATCCAAGGGGATTTAACAGTTTTTTTTACAGTCATTTTCTTAATGGGTGCATGCTTATTAGTAACTGGAATAAGCATTTCATATATGTGTCAAATGCACACATCACATACCAGCAAATATTATTTACATCATCAACATAAAAATCACTACAGAACTTATTGTATGACCTCTTATGCACTATATTAGGCCCAGCTTTTAATATATACCGGCCAATATATTGTGATCTCTACATCCAATAGCTTTGGATACTGCTTTAAAGCAAATTTCTGCAGCATTAGTAAAGATGTGATCAATACATATTGATGATTTCATTCCTGTGCTGTTTGTAGCTACACTGGTAGGTTGACTGATAACTGAAACAGGTTGCAGGCACTGGTTACAGTTTGAAGCTTTTTCTTGAGTGGGTAGCTTGATGAAAGCTAGTCAATAATGAAATCACCCAGAACTGTTGATATCACCTCTCTGTTGATATCATATACATTACCAAGCATTTCACACATATTATCCAGATACTGACTGTAAGTGCTTGGTGGTCTATAGCAGCTTCCCACAAGAATGGGCTTTAGGTGAGGCATATTACTTGAACAGTATTTAACCTGAGATCCTCTCTAAGCTTTACAGGAATGTGGTTCTGAACACTGCCCCCATTGGCATTTCTGTATTTTCTGTAGATGCTACCACTGTATCATCAAAGGTATTATCTAAGTGAGTTTCAGAGATAGTCAGTATAGGAATGTAATCTGTTACAAGCAAGTTATTGATTTCAGGAACCTTGTTTCTTAGGCTACATATGTTAATGTGGGCTGTTTTTAGCACTTTTCTGGGATGCTTGATTGTTTCTATTGCTTTATTGGGAAGCTTATCAGAAGTAGATATGCTCATGTTATTTATATTTGAGCTGATAGTGCAGGGTGAGCTGCACACAGTGAACTTCCTACTAGGGCACACCGCCTCAGTATAACTCTGGTTCATAGGCACATGATTATAGCATACAACATCTGTAGGATCAACAGAGGCATTCAGGGCAGTTAGGGGGACATAAAGTAAGTTCCTTACATTGTGTTTGCCAACTCCCCTGGGATAATGTACATTATGACAACTCAGCGACACAATGGTAGGGATTAATTGAGCTGATCTTGGGTCATTGATAAGTCATTGTCTCAACGCTGCCTTGGAGTCCAGGAGCCAAGATTATTTGGATGGACTCTGTCATTCCTGTAGAGAATCTTCTGTTTCCAGAAAGTGTCAAAGTTGTCTATAAACGTGATTCCAGCAGAGGTACAGTAATCTTTTAGCCAGGTGTGTAATGCCAGTATGCTTGGAGGAACATTGGAAAGTCCAAGCAGGTTCTCTGACCATGTCTCTCTTTCTCGCTCTCTCCCCCTCTCTCACGCTTTCCACACATCCCTTTCACTGTTATATCCATCTCCCCCTTTCCTCTCTCTGCTTTCTCCCCCCAAATGACTTCCACTAGGACCTATTTTTAGCCCTCTCACTTTCTCTCGACTCTCTCTCTTTGCCCGCAACCTGCTTTCTGATAGCTTTCTATGCTTTCTAATCGTTGGCCACATCTATGTTGTCCATTGACTAGTCCTGAGAGAAAATTGTCCTCTGCCCCTTGGGCAATATCTGTGCCACGATGTACATATGGCAATAGGATTTTCTGTTATAATGGCCACGATTTAACACAGCATAGATAGACACAATGCATCCATTTGTATCATCTTTGAGACAGGCACAGCGATGTGATGCGCTTGTACTAAAATCAAATGTATTGTTCTCAAGAGAACAGCATGTGTTGTGTTTTTCCCAGTGGCTCCAATACAAAGGCCTAACGCCTGACTTGATTTAACAATTTTAAAGCAACAGGCCAACTTACTGCATGTTTTCCCTTGGCTGTGTGCTGTTTCTGATGTGTGTGTGTGTGTGTCTGTGTCTGTGTGTTATTCCAGGGCAGACAGGAGGGGGTGGAGATTGACCCCTGGGAGGATGCAGACTACAGTATTTACAGAGTCACTGACCGTTTCGGATTTCTGCAGTAAGTCAAACTGGGTTTGTGTGTACAGTATTGTACACATTACTTGACTGGCAGAATCTGACTGTTGTTGTCCATTCTTTTCCCACAGTGACGAGGAGTTGCCAACCCCTAGTGCACATGAGGAGAAGGTAAGAAGAGGAAATGCATCAAAAGAGTCAAAGAGACACACTACAGTTTCCGTTAGGTGGTGTACTGAAGCCACTAACTAACATTTCAAGTGTGACCTCTAACATATGGAGGTGTAATGTTCCTTGTGCAGCTGTAGTGTGTGTGTGTTTGTGTGTATGTGTGTATTAGCCAATCCTTGCCCTCCCGCTAACCTAGTGAAACCCTGTAGCAGGGCCACATGCCCCAGGCATCCATCTAAGGCGAAGCCGATCCTTAGGCATCTCACACACTCCTGGAATGAGAGCTACGCTTGCTCACACCTTAGAACCGGTCATGTGGTCGTGATTGATTAAATTACTTCCACATCTAACCTTGGGCAGAATTTGATAAGCTCTCCTCAATGTTAAATGTCAATACAGTACAAACCAGAACATGCCAGTCATAGCAGTGGGGGCAGGACACCAGGTTCTCAAGTCAAGTGATCTTTTATATGATCCCACGAAGGGAGTTCATTTGGTTGTAGTTTTAGGAGAAACATTGTAATACTGTGTTCTGTACTGTACTATACTGTATGTGTAAATGCGTCTTGTTAATGTAATGTGTCTTCATTTTGCATACATAATATTTCACCTAGTTTAAAATGTATTTTCTGTTTCGCCCTGACAGAAAAAGAACCTGGAAATTGAAAGGGTGGAAAAATGGCTGAAGATGGTGAAGAAATGGGATAAATACAGGAACAGTGACAGGGTGAGAATAACTCTCTCTCTCTCTCTCTCTCTCTCTCTCTCCCTCTCTCTCGCTCACACAGACACACACTACACCCATTCACTTGTGTTTCTAAGTGTTTATATTAGCCTGAAATGCTCACTCAACATTTACACTCCACCCTCAACTCCCCATTTGTCTAACCCCTGTCTCCCCTGTGTTCCCCTGCTCTCCTCTCAGATGGTAAAGCGTGTGTATAAGGGTATCCCCCTGCAGCTGAGAGGCCAGGCCTGGGCCCTGATGCTGGATGTGGAGAAGGTGAAGAATGAGAACAAGGGGAAGTATGAGGTAAGAGAGTACCCAGTATATAACATGCACACACACACACACACACTGTTGGTTCATCAAGCATCTACTCTAAACAGTGCATAGGTGTTTACCAACACACAGAGATTTGATACCGTGCTCGAACCAGCACGTTTCAGTCTAAAGCCAGTGGTCACTCAGGACCACTAAACAATGAAATCTCTGCTGTTATGATTTGAAGCCGACTGCTACTTCAGGTCTCTGGGAAAGTGATGTCATTGTGCTATGCTACGCAATCAGTAACCAGGTTCACTACATGGGCAGAGTACATGAAAAAAAAATTATTCAACAATATTGAATACCCTATTCCCGGCCAGAGATAAATACCCTGTGATTCAACAATGGTGTGATACGGTAATGTCCATGTCCTCCCCCTCCAGTGGTACAGTGGCTTCAGAAAGTATTCACACCCCTTGAGTTTTTCCACATTTTGTTATGTTACAAAGTGGGATAAAAATGTATTTTGTCAACGATCTACACAAAATTCTCTGTAATGTCAAAGTCGAAGTAAAATGTATTAATGGAACATAAAACACTAATATATTTTGATTAGATAAGTATTCAGCCCCCTGATCAATACATGTTAGAATCACCTTTGGCAGTGATTACAGCTGTGAGTCTTCAAGCTCTGTCAGGTTGGTTTTTGATCATTGCTATACAGCTATTTTGAGGTCTTGCCATAGATTGTCAAGCCGATTTTAAGTCAAAACTGTAACTAGGCCAGTCAGGAACATTCAATGTTGTCTTGGTAAGTAACTCCAGTGTATATTTGGCCTTGCGTTTTAGGTTATTGTCCTGCTGAAAGGTGGATTGTCTGCCAGTGTCTGTTGAAAAGCAGACTGAACCAGGTTTTCCTGTAGCTTGTGCTTAGCTCTATTCCTTTTCTTTTTATCCCCCCAAAAAACTCCTTAGCCCTTGCCAATGACAAGCATACCCATAACATGATGCAGCCACCACCATGCTTGAAAATATGAAGAGTGGGACTCAGTGATGTGTTGTGTTGGATTTGCCCCAAACATAATGCGTTGTATTCAGGACAAAGAGTTCATTTCTTTGCCATATTTTTTGCAGTATTACTTTAGTGCCTTATTGCAAACAGGATGCATGTTTTGGAATATTTTTTGCTATACAGGCTTCCTTCTTTTCACTCTGTCATTTAGGTTAGTATTGTGGAGTAACTACAATGTTGTTGATCTATCCTGGGGTCCCCTGTAGAGCATGGCGCTTGCAACGCCAGGGTTGTGGGTTCGTTTCCCATGGGGGGCCAGTATGAAAATGTATGCACTCACTAACTGTAAGTCGCTCTGCATAAGAGCGTCTGCTAAATGACTCAAATGTAAATGTATCCTCAGTTTTCTCCTTTCACAGCCATTTAACGCTGTAACTGGTTTAAAATTACTATTGGCCTCGTGGTGAAATCCCTGAGCGGTTTCCTTCCTCTCCCTCAACTAAGTTAAAAAGGACGCCTGTATCTTTGTACTGACTTTGTGTATTGATACACCATACAAAGTGTAATTCATAATTTCAACATGCTCAAAGGGATATTCAATGTCTGCTTCTTTTTGTTTTACCCATCTACCAGTAGGTGCCTTTCTTTGCGAGGCATTGGAAAACCTCCCTGGTCTTTGTGGTTGAATCTGTGTTTGAAATTCACTGCTCGACTGAGATAATTGTATGTGTGGGGTACAGAGGTGGGGTAGTCATGAAAAAATTATGTTAAACACCATTATTGCACACAGAGTTGGTCCATGCAACTTATTATCTGACTTGTTAAGCAAATTTTTACTCCTGAAGTTATTTAGGCTTGACAAAGGGGTTGAATACTTATTGACTCAATAAATTTCAGCTTTTTATTTTTAAGACATTTGTAAAAATGTCTAAAATCATAATTCCACTTTGACATTATGGGGTATTGTGTGTAGATCCGTGACACAAAATAAAAATGTAGTCCATTTTAACTTCAGGCTGTAACAAAATGTGGAAAAAGTCAAGGGGTGTGAATACTTTCTGAAGCCACTAAGACATACAGTACATGAACATATGTAGGAGTGTGCTGATCTTCCCCCACATATTGCAGCCAGAAGCCAGAGTGCTGAACACAAAATATTGTAATGTTATACACCAAGACCATTTCATGTTTATAGGACCATTACTTTAACTACGCCCTCTCCCACCCACCCATCGCTACATTCAGCAGGATTAATAATAGTGACATTGTTTTTGATTGTTTGTTGGGTGCGGCTCCAAAAAGAGAGAGGATTATGTTACTGTATGTGAGATGAAAACAGGACAGATGGCGTTGACATGGAGATACAAAAATCACACGCACATCACACAATAACAGAGTTTTACTGACAGGGGATTATGGCTTTTGATATAAAGTTAATATAAAAATATGTTGCCCATGTAGTCCCCTGTAGCTCAGTTGGTAGAGCATGGCGCTTGCAACGCCAGGGTTGTGGGTTCGTTTCCCACGGGGGGCCAGTATGAAAATGTATGCACTCACTAACTGTAAGTCGCTCTGAATAAGAGCAGTCTGCTAAATGACTAAAATGTAAATGTAATGTTGCCTAAATACTATAGAATCTATGATTTTGAAAAAAAGGTTTTTTTAAAGGTTTTTTCAAGATTAATCATGTGTACTGTTGCTGTTCATTTCTTTCTAATACGTTTGAAGTGTGCAAGGGCTTTAGAAAATTTATAAATTGTTTTAATTGAATTTTTCAGAGGATGAAGGAACAGGCCAGAATCTTCTCCCAGGAAATCAAACAGATAGATCTGGACGTGAACAGGACGTTTAGAAACCACATCATGTTCATGGATCGATTCGGAGTCAAGTAAGTCAGCAGCTGTATTCTACAGTAAGGGTGGGTGTTCATGTACGTCTTAGTGCTGATCTAGGATCAGATCCCCCAGTCTATTTAATATGGCTGCGGTTTCGGATTTTCTGGAACCCGTGTTGCTATTGATACGTATATTTTTAGGTAGCTGCTGCCCGCTCTGCTGCCTAAGTAGCTCCCACTGCTCTGCTGCTGCTTCCCCCTCATTGACAAGGAGGGGGAAACTTCATGTTGTACACAAAAGACATGGTCGACATGTTCGGACAAACTTTGTTGTCTGTTGTAACAGTATTGCAAACATAAGAACAACACAAAGGCAGTCTATTTCATGTTATTAGGCAAGTACACTACGTGACCAAAAGTATGTGGACACCTGTTCGTCGATCATCTCGTTCCAAAATCACGGGCATTAATAAGAAGTTGGTCCCCCCTTTGCTGCTGTAACAGCCTCCACTCTTCTGGGAAGGCTTTCCACTCAGTGACAAAAGCATTAGTTGGCACTATGGATTGGGGCAGGTAGCGTTCTCCTGGCATCCGCCAAATCCCAGATTATTTAGTTGGACTGCAAGATGGTGAACGTGTTTCATCACTCCAGAGAACACGTTTCCACTGCTCCAGAGTCCAATGGTGGCGCGCTTTACACCACTCCTGCCGACGCTTGGCATTGCGCATGGTGATCTTAGGCTTATGTGCGGCTGCTCGGCCATGGAAACCCATTTCATGAAGCTCCCGATGAACAGTTATTGTGATGTGCTGACGTTGCTTCCAGAGGCAGTTTGGAACTCGGTAGTGAGTGCTGCAACCGAGGACAGACTATTTTTTACGCGCTACACTCTTTAGCACTCTGCATTCCCATTCTGTGAGCTTGTGTGGCCTACCACTTCGCAGCTGAGCCGTTGTTGCTCCTAGACGTTTCCACTTTACAATAACAGCACTTACAGTTGACCGGGGCAGCTCTATTAGGGCAGAAATTTGACGAACTGACTTGTTGGATAGGTGGCATCCTATGACGGTGCCACGTTGAAAGTCCCTGAGCTCTTCAGTAAGGCTATTCTACTGCCAATGTTTGGCTATGGAGATTGCATGGCTGTGTGCTCAATTTTATACACCTGTTATCAACGGGTGTGGCTGAAATAGCCAAATCCACTAATTTGAAGGGGTGTCCACATACTTTGGATATATAGTGTATATATAACACAAGCAAGACACAGACAGGCAGTCAAAAAAGCAAATTTTTTCTCATCATTGCAAACAGTGGCAATTTTCTTTCCATCAACTCTCACTACGATATGGCAGCATGACTATGAAGATTAGCATCATAAATAGTAGGCAGTCTAAAGCAGTAGTTAAGTGCAATACCATTGGAAATTAATGTTGAAAGTTACATTTATATTCCTAAAACTTAAGTTGAAAATGATGCTGTCGCTGCTTCCTGTTGACAAGACCATATTGATAAATAGCCCAATGTCAAAACACAGTTTTAAAGTGTCCAAATCAATAACCAATACGCAGAAACAGTTTGTGATATATTGAAACCTAAACATAAAATGTACTATCTACACATACATGTGCAGGGTTGGGGTGGTATGGGAGTGGGTTTGGAGTGGGTTTAGGGTTTCTGTGATAATGGTGTTGATGTGAGCCATGACCAGCCTATCAAACTAATATCAGTAGAACATGGACAAAACGTTTGGGGTGTAGCGCTGTTTAAACTAACACTATGCAAAGGCCACACAGGAACTTGGAATAACCTATACATGCTGTGACATTATATTTTGGAATGATGGATGTTGATTTTGGGAGGCTGCCATCACGGAAAAAGGAACAAACCACTTTTTCTGTTAGGTAACTTCAACGAATCATGACCCGCCATAGGTTATCAACAGCGACAACGTTGACTGCTATTTATGTGATATTTTGACTGTCAAGTCCATTTATTAAGAGACCGCCCTGAATTTTCCATGCCATTTGAGAAATAAAATAATAGCTGAGTTCTAAGTCCTGCGACCCCCAGCGTGTATGTGTGGTGATGTGATTTGAAGGAGTCAGGCGCAGGAGGGTAAATCACAGAAAAACTGGTTTATTCCATTGACACAGCGGTACGCAGCAATTCGTCAAACACTCCAGTGCGGAAAATGGTCCTCTGTAGCTCAGCTGGTAGAGCACGGCGCTTGTAACGCCAAGGTAGTGGGTTCGATCCCCGGGACCACCCATACACAAAAATGTATGCACACACGACTGTAAGTCGCTTTGGATAAAAGCGTCTGCTAAATGGCATATTATTATTATTTTATTATTAAAATTACAGCTCACTGGAAACAAAAAGGCACACGGGTGAATATCCCGGCAATACAAAATACAAGAGCTCCACCGAGCTAAACTAACCTCCACAATAAACAATCACACACAAAGACAAGGGGGCGAAGGGAACACTTATACAGGTACTGATTAGGAGAATTGAAACCAGGTGTGTGTGTAATAAACAAGACAAAACAAATGGAATGATGAGATGAGGAGTGGCAGTGGCTAGAAGACCAGTGACGACGAACGCCGAAGCCTTCCCGAACAAGGAGAGGAGGCAGCTTCGGAGGAAGTCATGACAGTACCCCCTTGACGCGCAGCTCCAGCAGCACGCTGACACTGGCCTCGGGGACGCGGAGCAGGGCGAGCCGAATGGCGACGGTGGAAATCCTGCAACAGGGAGGGATCGAGGATATCCCTCACCTGGACCCAACACCGCTCCTCCGGACTGTACCCCTCCCACTCCACGAGGTACTGAAGGCCCCCCACCTGACACCTGGAATCCAGGATGGAACGGACGGAGTATGCCGGGGCCACCTCGATGTCAATAGGGGGCGGAGGGACCTCCCGCACCTCAGACTACTGGAGCGGACAAGCCACCACCGGCCTGAGGAGAGACACATGAAACAAGGAGTTAATACAGTAATCGGGAGGGAGTAGTAACCTATATGTAACCTCGTTGATTCTCCTCAGGACTTTGAACGGCCCCACAAACCGTGGGCTCAGCTTCCGGCAGGGCAGGTGGAGGGGCAGATTCGGGGTCGAGAGCCAAACCCGATCACCCGGTACAAAAACCGGGGCCTCACTGCGGTGGCGGTCAGCGTTGGCCTTCTGGCGACGCACTGCGCGCTGGAGGTGAACGTGAGCAGCTTTCCACGTCTCCTCCACACGCCGAAACCAGTCATCCACCGCAGGAGCTTCGGTCTGGCTCGGATGCCACTGTGCCTGAACCGGCTGATAACCTAAGACACATTGAAAGGGAGTTAGGTTAGTGGAGGAGTGGCGAAGAGAGTTCGGGGCATATACGGCCCATGGCAAAAACATCGACCACTCCCCGGCCGGTCCTGGCAGTAGGACCGCAGGAACCTACCCACATCTTGATTCACCCATTCCACCTGCCCATTAGACTCGGGGTGAAACCCAGAGGTCAGGCTGACCGAGACCCCCAGACATTCCATGAACGCCTTCCAGACCCTGGATGTGAACTGGGGACACTGGTCAGACACTATGTCCTCTGGCACCCCGTAGTGCCGGAAGACGTGAGTAAACAGGGCCTCCGCCGTCTGCAGGGTCGTGGGGAGACCAGGCAGACGAAGGAGGCGGCAGGTTTTTGAAAAACGGTCCACAACGACCAGGATGGTGGTGTTACCCCTAGGTGCCTTATTCTGGGCGCACACCGAGCAGGAGAAGACATACACCCTCACGTCCTTAGCCAAGGTAGGCCACCAGTACTTTACGGTCAGGCAGCGCACAGTTCGACCGATATCTGGGTGACCAGAGGAGGGAGACGTGTGGGCCCAATAGATCAGACGGTCATGGACAAGAAACGGCACATACTGCAGCCCAGCTGGGCAGTGAGGTGGAGATGGCTCTGTGCGTACCGCCCGCTCTATGTCCACGTCCATCGCCCATACTACCAGCGCCACAATGCCGGAGGCCGGGAGTATGGGGGTGTACATCTCCTCTATGTCATACAGTCGTGACAGCACGTCTGCCTTCACGTTCTTCGCACCCGGGATGTATGACAGAGTAAACTCAAACCGGGTGAAGAATAGGGCCCACCTGGCCTGGCGAGGGTTCAGCCTCCTTGCTGCCCAGATGTACTCCAGGTTACGGTGGTCCGTCCAGACGAGGAAAGGGTGTTTCGCCCCCTCGAGCCAGTGCTTCCAAACTGTCAGGGGTCTGACTAAAGCCAACAGCTCCCGATCACCAACGTCGTAGTTCTGCTCCGCCGGGCTGAGCTTCTTGGAGAAGAAGGCACAGGGGCAGAGCTTGGGTGGCGTGCCCGAGCATTGAGACAGGACAGCGCCTATCCCTACCAAGGATGCATCCACCTCCACTACGAACGGTAGTGATGGATCGGGATGAGCCAGTAGCGGGGCTGAGGGGAACAGAACCCTCAGGTTACTGAGGACCCTGTCAGCCTCAGCAGACCAGCAGAGGTGGGACGGCCCACCCTTCAACAGAGATGTGATGGGAGCTGCGACCTTGCCAAAGCCCTGGATAAAACTCCGATAGTAGTTGGCAAAGTCAATAAAGCGCTGCACCTCCTTTACCGTGGTTGGGGTTGATGCGCATGGTGGTGGAAGTGTCTGGACTTTCCACCGTGGTTGCACCAACGGAAACAGCTATTCACCTACCCTGACACTCTCGCGACCACCCCGTGAGAACCGTCTGCGGCCATTGAAAGGTGGGGTTGTGTAATGTTAACCAGGGAAGACCCAACACAACAGGGAAATCGGGGGACAAAATAATAAAAAATGTGACGTGCTCTCTATGGGTCCTTTGGGTAACCATCGTGACTGATGCTGTAACTTCCCAAACAAACCCTGACCATAATGGTCGACTGTCAAGTGCTTTGATGGGCAGTGGAGTGGTTAGGGGAACCAATGGAATACCTAGACTTAGAGCTAACGACCTGTCCATAAAGTTCCCATCTGCGCCTGAATCGACCAGCGCCTTACACTGGGAAACTACAGGGTAGTTAGGGAAGGTGACGTGTATGGTGCAGTGTGCAGCAGAGGGCTCTTACCGAGTGTTGGTTTTCGCTACCTGGGGTGATGCGAGAGTGCCCTGCCTGCCGCCTCCAGACCCGGAAGAACCCTGACGACAGCGTGCAGTATAATGTCCTCTTCTGCCACAAGAGTGACACTGAAGCTGTCCTCCTCCGTTCTCCCGGATCGCTGCCCCACCCAGCTCCATCGGAACGGACTCCGAGTTGGGGGGGGGGGGGGTGAAAAGTGCAGGCCACTACCAGGACGTCCTCTAGCAGCCAGCAGGTTGTCCAACCGGATGGCCATGCCCACCAGCTGGTCGAAGGTTAACATGGCATCCCGGCAGGCTAGTTCCCTTCGGACGTCCTCTCGCAGGCTGCACCGGAATCCGTCGATCAGGGCCCGCTCGTTCCACCCGGACCCAGACGCCAGGTTCCGAAACTCCAGGGCGAAGTCCTGCGCTGTCCTCGTCCCCTGCCTCAGTTGGACCAGACGAACTCCCCGAATTTGTCAAACGCGGTTCTTCCTTCTCTCCAGACCGCGTTGGCCCTCTCCAGGGCTTTCCCCGAGAGGCAGGAGACGAGGGTAGACACCTTCTCCCGCTCCGATGGAGCCGGGCTGATGTTCACGAAGTAGAGGTCCAGCTGCAGGAGGAATCCCTGGCAGCGGGCAGCCGCCCCGTCAAACTCCCTCGGTCGGGATAGATGAATCCCTCGGGGTGCTGGAGTGTGGGTAGCCAGATCTGGTCGCACAGCTGGTCCCGACAGGTTGGGTCATCTCCTATCTAGGCGTTGAACGACCTGGAGAACCCGATCCATCGCTTCTCCCAAGCTGGCTAGCATCCTGGAATGCTCGGGGACCCGTGCCAAGACTCCAGCCATGGGCTCTTCTCCTGCTAACTCCATGGCAGGTGTGTGATTCTGTGGCGATTTGATTTGAAGGAGTCAGGCGCAGGAGGGTAAATCACAGAATAACAGGTTTATTCCGTTGACACAGCGGTACGCAGCAAGGCGTCAAACACTCCAGTGCGGAAAATTACAGTGCACTGGAAAAAACAAGGCACACAGGTGAATATCCCGGCAATACAAAATACAAGAGCTCCACCGACGCTAAACTAACCTCCACAATAAACAATCACACAGAAAGACAAGGGAGCAGAGGGAACACTTATACAGGTACTGATGAGGGGAATTGAAACCAGGTGTGTGTAATAAACAAGACAAAACAAATGGAATGATGAGATGAGGAGCGGCAGTGGCTAGAAGACCGGTGACGACGAACGCCGAAGCCTTCCCGAACAAGGAGAGGAGGCAGTTTCGGAGGAAGTCGTGACAGTATGACAAAATCAACAGTACAAAACCAAAGATATTGATCTGTTTTTTAACAATTGATCTTGTGTCATCGTGTTGACTATAAACTTGTATACTAACATCACCAATCTGAGGTATAAAGGATGTGTAATTCCCCCCCAATTCCATGTGGTCAAAACGTCAGCTTGTGTAATGTAGTAACACATTGTCCACACATCATGGAAAGTAGCGAAATTAACCACATTTCTATTTAGCTAAATAATACAAAACACAAAAGGATTAATAGTCTCAATTGCTTTACTGACAATAGTGCAATATTTAACTAAATCAGATGTTCAGATCTACAAATGTTTGATATTTAACATTAGTTAAAGAGGGTAGTTGTTGAAAGTCCAGCATAGATGAACAGCCGACATGTTGATGATGCAATTTACTCTAAAAGGTCAAAGGTAATGCAGTAGCACGGGAGTGCGCAGTGCTTCTCAAATGTAAAATGTATGCGTTCTCCACACTCTCGTCCTAATAAGAACGTACTCAAGAAAAGAACCTCGAAGAACGCACTCAGAGCATGGGAGTATGCATATTGAGAAACACCCACAGATACGCAGTCTAATTAGCAATTTAATGTTATTTTTTCATCATTCCAAACAAATAAAATAAAATGTTATTTGTCACATGCTTCGTAAACAACAGTGAAATGTTTACTTACGGGCCCTTCCCAACAATGTAGAGAGAAAGATGAAAACATTATAGAAAAAAATTATAACACATGGAATAAATACACAACTTACTAGTAAATACACAGCTATGAAAAATATAAATGAAAACTGTCTTGGTAAATAGTATGGTCTGCAGCTTATCATGAGATATTCTAACTCAGGCGAGCAAAAACTTTGTTAACAGAGACACACCCCTCCCCCCTCATCTTTTCAGTTAATTTATTTAAATCATGAAGCTCATCTTCCTTTACTGTGGTGCAGGAAAATTCTCAGCAACAAAAGAGTGATCAAATTAAGATCCTACATATGTACAGTATATAAAGATATGAAGTGAAAGTTGCCTGAACCATGGCAATTACCCCTCTCTGTCTCTGAATGACTGACCTCCCTCTCTCCTCTCTGTGTCTACACAGACAGCAGTCTTTATTTAATATCCTGTCTGCCTATTCAGTCTACAACACGGTGAGTTTGTGTTAGTCTTCCCTCAGTCATAAATAATGTCAATATTTACGTAATGTTTGCATTAGGATTCATCCCAATGTTCAGCAATGAACTGCTTTGTAACACTAAAACTAGTGGCAACTGAGCTGCCTCCAGCTTTAAGGTGACGAAACCTACATCAGGACAAATGTAGCCTGGTGATCAATGTGACCTAGTTTGACCTCTATCCTCTGACCCTATAGGAGGTGAGCTACTGCCAGGGCATGAGCCAGGTCGCCGCCTTGCTGCTGATGTACATGAACGAGGAAGACGCATTCTGGGCCCTGTCACAGCTACTGACCAATCAGAAGCATGCCATGCACGGTGAGCTGACCAATAAGATATCCCGTAAACATTGATTCAACCAATCAGATATGTCATGCATGGTGGTCCGACCAATCAATAATAGGAATCAGCGACATTACCAGTGAATTAATATATGAATATGTAAAAAAACTTCATAAAGAAATGGAATTACAGTAATTGACTAGTAAGTACATTCTGTTATGGAGTTCTAGCCACTCGATTTATCTGTGTGTTTACACAAGGTAATGAAGCAGTCTAATCATGCACTCTCCCTCTCCTTCTCCCTCTAAGGTTTCTTTATTCCTGGGTTTCCCAAACTGCAGCGCTTCCAGACGCACCACGATCAGATTCTCTCCAAACTCATCCCCAAACTGAAGAAACATCTGGTTAGATCACTGTTTAGGTTGCCTTCACACACACAACCACATACATGCATACACACATTACGTAATGGCATTATTATGTTTCATAATAGTGAGGTTATTACAGTAATTGCATATAGTTACATGAAATGTGTGTTACTGTGTAGAAATGACCATTGTTCTTTCTACTCTTCTTCCCTCTCTTTCTCCTCTCTCCCCCTCATTTTCTTTCTTCCTCCATCCCCTCTCTCTTTTTCTCTCTCCCTCCATCCCTCTCTCCCTCTGTCTCTCTAGGACAGGGAACAGATGTCCTGTGGGATCTACAGCACTAAATGGTTCCTGCAGTGTTTCATTGACAGGGTGAGAGAAAGTGTGTTTAAAATTTAAAATTTTAAAGGACCGGTGCCATTTTTAGCCGATTTTAAATAACTCTTCCTTTTAGTGGCCCGTGACAACCAAGAACTCCTCTCCTTAAAGGTACAATCTAGGATCTGGGATTGCTGACAACGATTGCCATATTGTAACTTTTAGCAGAGGAGAAAGTAGTCAAAGAATTGATGCTGTGAGCCTCATATTCAACTGACAATAGTAACTCTAAAATAGCAGAATTGCAATTGTATTCATGGACATTCATTCATTTCACATGATTACAACTCTAAGCAGGATGAACTTACAAGGTAAAACTCATTTCAGCATTTATTAGTGTTGTTAACTGCGTATAAAGGGAACATAACATAAGCATAATCACAAGGCTTAATAACTACTCAGTGTGTACTCTACTCTGTTCATACACACAATCCTGTGGCTTTGGTGGTTTGGAGAGAGACATGCTGCTGTCAGCGCTTCTCAGTCCCGCTGGGGCCAACCACAGAGATGGGGCTGGGGCTGTGGGTTGGGAGGGACGGCCACCAAGCCCCCTCACTACCACGGGACTAGAGGCAGGGGGCGGAGGGAGAAAGAGAGGGAGAAAGAGAGGGAGAGAAAGATGAAGACAAAACAAATAATTAGCCTAGTAATCAATGATTATGTCATGGATCGATAATGGTAATTTTGGGGATGATAAGCCTATGTGCTTACAGATAGCAAAACAATCTTATTAATGTACACTATGTGAACTCATGACTTATGATATTGTGGTCTTTTTGGACACCATTGATTTTAAGAACAGTTTTACCACTTTGTGAATGGGAAATAATTTTTCTTGGAAGTCAGATATCTTCTTTCCCTCTCCTCATAGACCCCGTTCACCCTGACTCTACGCCTGTGGGACATCTACATTCTGGAAGGAGAGAAAATTCTTACTGCCATGTCCTACACCATCCTTAGAATATTTAAGAGTAAGGAGTGCATCTACCATTAACAAGTATCCTTTTGGCTACTTTAGCCTATTAGCTATTAGCTACTCATTACATAACTCTTAGCTAATACAATATTAATCTCAGCTATGCATATTTGACTCCTGTCCTGTGTCTCTGTTAGAGCAGATATAATGCCAATGAAGTTGACTCCTGTCCTGTTTGCTGTATCTGTGTGTCAACAGAACGTCTCCTGAAGATGAATCTGGAGGACCTGAGAGAGTTCCTTCAGGAGAAGATCGCCCTGTCGTTCCTCTACAGTGATGATGTCATCATCGATCAGCTGCAGGCCTCCATGGCGGAACTAAGCAAGATGAAGCTGGACTTTCCACCCCCAGGTAACACACTGCTTAGCTGATTTTTATGTACTGTTTGACAAGGATAACTATTTTAAATCAGTAGAAAATGCAGAGACCAAACATCTCATGAGGGCTTGTCAATGAGCTCCCCCATGTGGAGAGAAATTAGGTCATATAATGACCATTTGATACTGGTTAGTTACACTACCAGTCAAAAGCTTGGACACACTTACTCATTCAAGGGTTTTTCTTTATTTTTGTAGAATAATAGTGAAGCCATCAAAACTATGAAATAACACATATGGAATCATGTAGTAAACAAAAAAGTGTTAAACAAATTAAAATATTTTATATATGAGATTCTTCAAATAACCATCCTTTGCCTTGATGACATCTTTGCACACTCTTGGCATTCTCTCAACCAGCTTCACCTGGAATGCTTTTCCAACAGTCTTGAAGGTGTTTCCACATATGCTGAGCACTTGTTGGCTGCTTTTCCTACACTCTGCGGTCCGACTCATCCCAAACCATCTCAATTGGGTTGAGGTTGGGGGATTGTGGCGGCCAGGTCATCTGATGCAGCACTCCATCACTCTCCTTCTTAGTCAAATAGCCCTTACACAGCCTGGAGGTATGTTGGGTCATTGTCCTGTGGAAAAACAAATGATAGTCCCACTAAGCCCAAACCAGATGGGATGGCATATCACTGTAGAATGCTGTGGCAGCCATGCTGGTTAAGTGTGCCTTGAATTCTAAATAAATCACAGACAGTGTCTCCAGCAAAGCACCCCCACACCATAACACCTCCTCCTCCATGCTTTACGGTGGGAAATACACATGCAGAGATCATCCGTTCACCCACACAGCGTCTCACAAAGACATGGCGGTTGGAACCAAAAATCTCCAATTTGGACTCCAGACCAAAGGACACATTTCCACTCGTCTAATGTCCATTGCTTGTGTTTCTTGGCCGAAGCAGGTCTCTTCTTCTTATTGGTGTCCTTTAGTAGTGGTTTCTTTGCAGCAATTCGACCATGAAGGCCTGATTCACGCGGCCCCCTCTGAACAGTTGATGTTGAGATGTGTCTGTTACTTGAACTCTGAAGCATTTATTTGGGCTGCAATTTCTGAGGCTGGTAACTCTAATGAGAGACAGTTTCATCATAGCGCTTGATGTTTTTTGCGACTGCACTTGAAGAAACTTTAAAAGTTCTTGAAATGTTCCGTATTGACAGACCTTCATGTCTTGATGGACTGTCGTTTCTCTTTGCTTATTTGAGCTGTTCTTGCCATAATATGGACTTGGTCTTTTACCAAATAGGGCTATCTTCTGTATACCCCCCCTACCTTGTCCACAACTGATTGGCTCGAACACATTAAGAAGGAAATAAATTCCACAAATTAACTTTTAACAAGGCACACCTGTTAGTTGAAATGCATTCCAGGTGACTACCTCATGAAGCTGGTTGAGAGAATGCCAAGAATGTGCAAAGCTGTCATCAAGGCAAAGGGTCGCTATTTGAAGAATCTCAAATATAAAATATATTTTGATTTGTTTAACACTTTTTTGGTTACTACATGATTCCATATGTTATTTCATAGTTTTGATGTCTTCACTATTATTCTACCATGTAGAAAATAGCAAAAAATAAAGAAAAACCCTGGAATTGAGTAGGTGTGTCCAAACTTTGACTGGTACTGTAGTTGTGTGGTATTTTTGAAAGAGGGTACCCATAATTACCATTTAATGTTTAAGCATAAACCAGGTAAACACTTACTTACCAACTGAAACAGAACTGTAAAGCAAAGCATAGTTCCTATAATTTACCTCAGTTTTAATGTTCCTGTGTTTTATTTCTAGCCAAGCCAGAGGAGCTGCCATGGAAGGCCCTGGGTTTGGAGCTACCTGTTCTGCTCACCCCTCTCAAGCCCCCCAGTGGAGTCACCCCTGACCCGGGTACCAAACGACCAGGAGCAGGAGGTCTGGGTCTCCACCTCATCACCCACCAGCCAGAAGTCATCTCCCAAGATGACAGCCCCTCTAAGGAGGACAGGAAGGACAAGGAAGCTCTCAATAGGGAGGAAGAGGAAGACCCCATTCTCATCCACACCATCCAGGCTCAAGTGACCCCCGATGGGCCTCCCCAGGCTGGGGCTGGGCCACCACCTTATGAGCCACCAGGGGGCAATGAGCACAATGTTATGGGACAGCCTGCCATTCTTATGCCACTCCACAAAGAAAAAAGTGTTGAGCGCTCCTCTGGTCCAGTGGCTTTACTAGAGACACAGGTCGTAGTTCAACAGGGTACAAACACACCTCCACAATACCCCATGGAGGAGCCGACCCTGACTGCCCCAGTTGCCCCCTTATCTCTTAGCCCTCCCCAGCTGCCCTGCAGGGTCCCCCGGACTCGCCCAGCAGCCTACGGGCCTGGCCCATAGTGAGAGCCGATTGGTGGGTGTGGGGGAGAGGGCGGAGGATGGGTACCTGGCCAGGCTTTTGGAGCAGGCCTTGGCTCTGCCAAACACAAGGCCCAGACAGGAGACACAGGAGAGCCAGGAGACCCAGAAGGGCCAGTTCGATTCCAGAGCATTGTAAAGCATTCTAAGTCCCGTCCCCCCCCTGTTGTCTACAAGACAGACATTGCAGAAACATAGTGTTATGTTGTAGGAGAAGCTGCCATAGTGGAGTTCCAAGGGACAGTGCCACATTCTCTTCCATCATAGTGAAAGCATTACAGCTGACTTCATTTTAGTAGTTTTGTAATATTTTATCAATGGACATTATGTTTGCTTAGATAGCCTTTGTAAAATATTTGCTATACTTATTTTAGTATAGTTTTATTTTTGTATGTGGACACCTTCTTGTCAAACATCTCATTCCAAAATCATGGCATTAATATGGAGTTGGTCCCCCCTTTTCTGCTATCACAGCCTCCACTCTTCTGGGAAGTCTTTCCACTAGATGTTGGAACATTGCTGCGGGGGCTCGCAGTCAGCGGTCCAATTCATCCCAAAGGTGTTCAATGGGGTTGAGGTCAGGGCTCTGTGTCGGGCCAGTCAAATTCTTCCACACCGATCTCGACAAACCACATCTGTATGGACCTCGCTTTGTGCACGGGGGCATTGTCATGCTGAAACAGGAAAGGGCCTTCCCCAAACTGTGGCACAAAGTTGGAAGCACAGACTCGTCTAGAATGTCATTGTATGCTGTAGCTGTAAGATTTCCCTTCACTGGAACTAAGGGGCCTAGCCCGAACCATGAAAAACAGCCCCAGACCATTATTCCTCCTCCACCAAACTTTACAGTTGGCACTATGCATTCGGGCAGGTAGCGTTCTCCTGGAATCCGCCAAAACCAGATTCGTCCATCGGACTGCCAGATGGTGAAGCGTGATTCAACACTCCAGAGAACGCGTTTCCACTGCTCAAGAGTCCAATGGCGGCGAGCTTTACACCACTCCAGCCGACGCTTGGCATTGCGCATGGTGTTTTAGGCTTGTGTGCCGCTGCTCAGCCATGGAAACACATTTCATGAAGCTCCCGACGAACAGTTCTTGTGCTGACGTTGCTTCCAGAGGCAGTTTGGAACTCAGTAGTGACATACGATTTTTACGCGCTACGCACTTCAGCACTCGGCAGTCCTGTTCTGTGAACTTGTGTGGCCTACCACTTCGCGGCTGAGCCGTTGTTGTTCCTTGACTTTTCCACTTCACAATAACAGCACTTACAATTGACCGGGGAAGCTCTAGCAGGGCAGAAATTTGACTAACTGACTTCTTGGAAATGTGGCATCCTATGACGGTGCCAGATTGAAAGTCACTGAGCTCTTCAATACGGGCCATTCTACTGCCAATGTTTGTCTATGGAGATTGCATGGCTGTGTGCTCGATTTGATACACCTGTCAGCAACGGGTGTATCTGAAATAGCCAAATTCACTAAGTTGAAGGGGTGTCCACATACTTTTGGCCATTTAGTGTATCTTTGCTTCTAGAGCAAATGCCTTAATTTAAACTGTACCATCAGTACTGCAATTAGAATCATGCTGGCTTGATAACAGGATATGTATTGAAGTGTCATTGAAAAGATAATTACAAAACAGAAAGGACAGCGAATGCTCATGTTTTCAAATGACGAAACCTGCCACACTGGCAAGTTCGTTTTGCATGGCCAGGTGCCCCGGGTGGGCGGCGTTTGCACATTTTAGACCTTTCCATTGGTCCTTAAGTGAAATCTCCATCCACCCGGGGCACCGGGCCATGCAAAACTAACTTCATAATGAAGAGTGAGCTGCCTCACTGATGATTTGGATTGTAAACAACAACAACAACAACAGTAAGGGCGGGATTCAATCTGAGCGCACTTTGACAGCAATGCACGTTTTAAAGGATATTTTCCCTGTTCGTGGGGACCACATTCACGGTAAATGCTGCATATGTCGGCTCAATCTGAAATTACCTTGAAATGGTGCATTGTCCAAATCCGCAACAGGATGAATCCCAGCCTAACGTTAGTATACCAGGGGTTCAGAACTTCACAAGGCTGCAAGGGGCCTCATTTCTTAGTCCCTCAATTGAGATCACTTGAGGCCAAATGCCTGGTATTTTAGGTGTAGGCCTAGTATAGATGGATTTTGTACTAGTCATCCACAACAACCAAAAACAAGCATAGACGAAGGCAATTGGTGCTATGTGACTTTGGGCTTAGATTAGTCATTTAGCAAGAATAATTCATATTTAAATATCATTTTCTATTCTTGGAATGTTTAAGCTTAAAATGAAAACATGTTTTGTGTTTTGTTGGCTTATCATTGATCTAGCAAAAATGTTTTTTCAGATTATTAGATCTTTGCTGTAATGTATTATAAAGCTAATTTGTATTCGTAAGAAGAGCAATATGTAGATATTTTGTACTCATTGTGTTGTAGAAGAAACACACCTAAGTTCTAAATACTGGCTACTGTTGTAGTAAAAAGCCTAATTATGATGTTGAAGTAGCCCTTTACATTTTTCCAGATGGTTTGTGGTAGATTGTTCTGTAGTACCATGTGATTTGCTTACTTTACTGACATCTAGTGGACAATTTGCATATAGCATGTCATTTGTCCACTGGCAGATGTTGGTTGGTTAAATGAAGACTAAGTTTACTTAGGTTCCCTCAATTAATCATAGGCTAAAATATTATAATCTTCAATCATAAGCTTGTTGTTAAATAAATGGACTGAGTGCTCCACTGCAGAAGCCCAGTATTTATTTACCTTCAAAGAAATTGAAAGGTTATTTCTAGACTACAGCAATTTCAATGGTAATGTTTTGCACTTTGCTATTTATCCACAGAAAAACAGGCTAAGGAAGAAAAGTTTTGTGTGAATTCTAAATTCATGTTTGTACCTTGATATGCTTTAGTTTGTTAAGGTGTTTGACAGTCAAAGCAAAACAGATGTGGTTATGATTAGTGTGTAATCTATGCTATGAACCCCTGATACTGTTCAATAATGATTTGTCAAATACATGTTTTCTAAATTTTGTATATTTGAGTATTATTTACATTAGAAAGTATGCAGGAGTATTTTAGTACAGTGGTTCCCAAACTTTTTCAGTTACTGTACCAACAATTGAATTTTGCTCTGCACGGAGTACCCCTGAAGTACCCCCTCATGTGCATTTTACCAGTAGGCCTATGGTCTCATGAGTCTTCTCAAGTACCCCATGTGGATATGCTAATTACCCCCAGGGGTCCTAGTACCCCTGGTTGGGAACCTCTTTTTTAGTAGACGAGTATTAACACATATTTTAAGACTAGTTTTCTCTGGTCAGGACTCCGGGCCCTACTGAAACACCTTGTTCTTGGCTATAACTAGGGTCTAGAGTTTTTCCTGGTCAGGTCAGGTCAAGTGGTCAGGAAAAAGTCTGTTCCCTATGAATTTGTGCACTGTTTCATCATTTCCACACGATGGCGCTGTAAATCTGTATGCTGGTATTGTAATAGGATACCACTCCTGGTTTGCATAGGTTTCATTTATCTGATTGGTTCTAACCTAGATTGGATCAAAGGCCTCTCAAAGCCGATTGGTTCTCGCAAAGGGTCTCACTCTCATTGGTCTCACTCCTCTAACATTTAATGGTAACATTTAACAGAGCCAGCAGAGCAGTGCATGTGCCTGTGGAGCAGCAACTGGCAGCAGGCGAGACTGTATCCATGGACAGACATCAAAACTACTAGGACAAGTGATTGAATAGACTTATCTACAGTCATTTAACTATATTTATCCATAGATCTATACTTGGATAGGAAACGTTCATGGGGTGTATTTATTGCAGTGCGTAAAAGTGACCTTCGAATCTCTTTCGGCGCTCTCAGAACAGAAGCACATCTCAAAAAAGCGACAATAATGTCAGGCACCTGCAGTCCCAGGATGACTAAGACCCTGGAAGATCTGAGTCTGGACTCGGGCTACGGAGCTGGGGACTCCTGCAAGTCCCTCAGCCTCTCCTCGTCCAGGTCCCGGCACTCCCAGACCCACCCACACCGGGGGACCTGGTGCAACCAGATCGGCTCTCTGAGCAGCAGGAACGCCAGTTGGGACACGGTCAACACGGTGCTGCCCGAGGATCCAGAGGACATCCTCTCCAAGTGTCCTCGTCTGCCGACGCTGGAAGAGGTCCCCTGGACCGACCAGGAGATCGCTGAAGTCCTGTGTAAAGTAGCAGGCGAGGAGGTGGCTTTCTCCTGTGACGCAGTCCGCCATCTCTCGCTGCTCTTGCGGAGGGCTCTGGTTCGGATCTCCCGGGAGGCTCAGAGACTGAGCGAGCTGCACCGGCGATGCACGCGCTTCGAAGTGCAGAGCGCCGTTCGGTTGGTGCTGAGCTGGGGGCTGGCTGAGCGGTGCGTGGCTGGCACTGTGAGGGCCATCTCTCTCTACTGCATGAGCTCGGGTGAGACACTGCGTCAACGCGGCAAGTCCTCACGCTGCGGGCTCAGCCTCCCGGTGGGACGGTTCTTCAGGTGGATGGTGGACACGCGTGTGTCAGTGCGCGTGCATGAGCACGCAGCCATCTGCCTGACCGCTTGCGTGGAGAGCCTGGCGGAGGAAGTGGGCTTGCGGGTGTTGATGATGGCAGAGGAGCGCCTGGTAAATATTGAGGTCCTGGACTGGGTCGTCAATAACGACGCGGAGCTGTGGGGAGTGATGCAGAACTACGAGCATCTGATATGCGGGAAAAATGCCAATGGTAAATGTGTGTGTGTGTGTGTGTGTATGTGTGCGCCCCAACCCTGATGCCACAATATGTGAATCAATTATCACTTTCCCTCTCTCCATGCGCTAAATACACACACCCCTTTCCAATAATGATTTTCTTCTCCTATGACTGCACACAGTGGAATGGTTTTTCAGTGAATATGCATTCTGGAAGTCTAGCAGAAGAATTATGTAACCTCAGAGATGTAAATGATCAAAACAGAAGTCCACTCAGGCAGAATATTCAAGAGAGAGAGAGAGGCCCTTCTAAAAACTGACCCCACATATGAGAAGCATGCATGTGTGTGTGTGTGTGTGTTGTCATTAGCAGTGCTTGGGTAAAATCACTGGGGAAGCC